TACGGTTTGCAGCTTGTCCTTTCCACCTGTGTTTTCTGCCTTCCGCTCCACCATAATTTGTGTCAGATCTAGGAATTTAGCCAATACTGCCCTCTTCATCGCCTTGCGTGTTACCTGGGGTGGGTTCGTCAGCTTCATCATCTAGCTGAATGATGTTATACGATGAGCGGTCGGGAAGTGCCTGGATAGAATTGCTGCTGCAGTTTGTCAGCTTAAAGGACGCTGCTTTGATCCGGAAATCGGAACATAGACTACTGCGACCCCCATGCAAACACCACAAATAACATTTTGACCTTTGTCCGGATTAAAACACCAGTTTCTCGACCCTCGAGTCACATCCTTTGTAACCTGGTGATCTGCACAGTTTCGGGTTAGATTGCGCCATGAAGTTTTCCATTGTGAGTATCTATTTAATAGAAGCGTTACTATTCCCGGTTACGGGAAGTCGCTGCACGCTTAGCAGGAACTTCCGTCATGTGGAAACCGCGTACAAGGAGGCTCCTGGCTACCACGTACTACCGATATATCTCCATGTCTTGCTTCTATTGTTTATAATCACACCGCGTTGTATCCGGGAAGATAAGCATGGAAAATGATCTAGTCCGGTGGCACGCAGTTGATAACAGAACTGCTTCAGCTTCATCGGCGGTCAGCGAAACTCGTAGAAGTCCCGGCGTACTGTAATGCAGAAAGGTTGGGCGACCGGTGACCCGTATCTAGTTGACTGACTTAACTACAAGACCTAGTATAGAACAACAAAGGTTCATTCCTTTACCTAATCAGTTGTTTTCCTTTAAAAGAACCTCATGTTGATTCTCGAAAGATGGTGTAGATTATCGATGGTACACTATGTGACACATTAATGATCATGTACGTATTCTGGGTTGTGGATGCCTACGCCGATGGATTTGCATACAACCGATGGACGCTGTGTGAGTGCAGGTTCCTGTTATTTATTAATATTGGGTTTAACAGCAGTAAGCAAAGGCCTGTGTTTCTCGTTGACTTTGGCAGCAACCATGTTCTAACCACCGCTACTGTAGACGTTCTTCCAAACTTTTGGTATAGCGTGGAACGTTTACGAGGTCTTGGCCGAACCTATTTCAATCGGACTGACAGGGATCTATTCGAGCGTAGTCCGGACATTGGGGGTATTGAATCTTAAGACTGCGGTTGACACCTGTTGTCTTGCTAAGTATTAAAGCTGCCCGTTGGATACCACTGGGTTTCAACCTATGTCACGCCTTCTTCTAGTGAAGAGACTTTAGTTCGCCTCATATATTTAATCGCTGCCACAAGTCTTTCTTGTTTCTGTGATGGTTTATGTACAATATTTAAAATGAGATAACCATGCATATTTCACAATACTGAAGCCAACCTGGTTTAATACTATGTATAAACAAACGGTTTACTGTGAGTCTAAAACACAAAGAGCGCAACATGCTGAGGCTTTTGTTAACACAGTATTATTGTACATACACGTAACCGGCATTAGGGATACCCGCATATTACTGTTATCTTAGAGCTTCCTTAGAATCGCCGTTACAGCGCCTTGTTTTTCGTACATGTCGATCAATGCTTTGCTGGATAATGGTTTAGCGTCCGAGCTACCTAGCTCTCCCCTACGCCCTGTAATGCCTGTCATTGCAAGGTCATTGGGGCCTTTCGCTGGTGCTGCAGTTCCATTGGCTGGGAAAAGCAACTTTTGGTTGTTTGGTCTTTTGATCGGCCGTTACCAAATTGTATGGTGACAAGGTGGATCCGCCTAAATGTTGAGTAGGATTTGCTGGGAAAACCTAGAGAAAGATGTAACTGTCTCATACAAGGTTGAAGTGGGATGGCTGAGAGCTTGCTGGAAAGCTGCCGAAGTGCTCTGTCGAGTGGTTCCGCAATTGCAGTTAGATGACATAAGCCTTGCAATTTCTTGCACTTGGGTATAGGTGAAACGTTGTCCGGAGTTTACAATTGCGGGTAAATGTAAAATGTGCTGTTAGTATTCTGGAGAAAATGGTACTACGAGTTGGAGCTTGTCAATTCAAGACGAACAAGTACAGATAATTGCGTACAACAAGGTGCGGCACAATACTGCTGAGTAATCCAAGAGTGTATGAACGTACGACCAGCAAACCATGACCTGCTACACACAAATTTATAATTGTTGCTGATATACAATAGAGAATCAACAGTGTCCGAGTATCCGAGCACTTCCACAGTAGTTGACTCCATACATAAGGGCCTTTTAATTGGCGCTGCCATCGTCCTTATCTGTAAGCATGGCCGACTAACGTGTCATGAAAATCATCATGGCATCGGCTTCTCGTTATTGCTTCCGAACTGCCATCATGCATTTTGTCATGACAGTTTGCTGACTTTCTTGCTGATGTAGCAGTCATATTTTACTCCTTTCCAGTACTAAAAGTTCAATACAAGTTAGTATTACGGAGTTAAAAGCTGTCCGTTTTCTACTGGTTGTACCTGTCTTTAGCGGTGCGTAGATCTTAAGAACAAAACAGAAAGGTCTCCCAATTTGAAGTTGCCCTGCTAGGACTCTTACAAAAGAGTTGCATCAAAATATAATTTGTCACCTGTATTCCTCCCACAAAATTAGGTAAATCAGTATTTACCTATTTTTGCAGTTCTCTTCAAGTTTGTTATTAAATTAATCATGAAGGAATTACTAATGCTTTTTCCACCTTAAGTGCTTTAAAGTTTCTGCTAAACAACCGACCATCTGAGCAAATATAGCACGTAACGTAGTAATCTCTGGGTTGGACTTCTCTGTTCTGTAAATGTAGTTAACACTTAGCAACTCCTAAGCTCAGAGTGTCTTACGGGATTGGACTAACCCAAGACAATTTCTCCCTATCACCGGGCAGCTTCTCGATCTTACCGGCCAGTTTACTTATCTAAAATGCCGTTTAAACTCCGGCGGTCACATTGCCAAAGGCGATAGTGCATAGGTAATTGATTCTACAATAACCATTCAGAGCACCTTTCACTTATAGAAACTGCGGAATAGAGTCTAAGTATTTAGACTAAGCGTGTAAGAGTGCGGTGCAACTAGTGCTACCTGATGGATCAAAGAAATAGACAATAGGCACCAAAGAGAATATGTGTTAACCTTGTTTGACTAGCGAGCCCTTGGAAGCATTGCTCATATCTGATGTGATTATCTGTTAAATAACCCCCAAGCCCGTCATTTGATATTTGCTCGCAAGGCTTTAATTGCCCCGCTGCCGTATCTGTTAAAATGGTCTTGACCGCTTTGCCTCGGTCAAAGGTTCCACACATCTACCCTCCGGCATCCCCGCATGTCTAGGTTGTCAATAGTTTTCTCATTTGTGCGAAATTCCAACATGATCAGCAATTACCATGGAAAAAGCGCATTAGGTAACTCAACGAGCGGTTGAATCAGTTTGGTGTAGGCCGCAATCCTGAAAGATGCTTTCGAGCTTGCAACATTGTCGGGATTTGACGCAAAATCGAACCAAGTCTCTAACTTACACTCCTTTCGTGTTTGCTTCTTAACTCTTCAATATAACAGCCTTGATTCCTATTTATATGCTGTTAATATTAATTGTTATTGTTAATATTCTGCTACGACAAAAATCTGGTTAAACTAAAAATCAATTCACGAATCCGCTTTAAAGAACAGGGCCAAAAAATGACTTCATCGTCAGTACTTTCATACACCGCGTTTATTATTACCATAACGCTCGTAGGAGAAGATCCAGCCGTGCTAGTCCACCTATCCCATACTTTCGCGCGGTTGCGATATATATCTATCATATTTGGTTTAAACTGCCTAATTCGATGTCATGCAACATTACCATTGATCTTCAAATAAATAACTGTTTTTCGCTATCACAAAAGTCTGGTTATGACGGTTTGGTAAACTATAAAACTCGAAACGTCATATAACTATAAAGTTAAAAATGGTTGGAAGTAATGTTTTGCACTAGAATTATGTGGTTTTGGAAAAGTAGCCGAGATCCTTTGAAGACGTTATGCTAAATTGCACAGTCTTGGAACTCGGCAAAGATCGGGGACATTTCCAGCGAAATGGTAGTGATTTTGTGCTGAGGATGACATTTATGCACTTGAATTTACTCTAACAGATACAATATGACAGTATGAGTACACGGTCTTGGTAATTAATTTCTGTCCCAGGATCCACAAATGGCTAGTGGTACCACGTAAATATTGCAAGTGTCCTAATTCTTGCTAACTTAATAAACACATTATCTATCCACCTTGTGACTTGCGACATCACTGGTTGTTGTAAACGTCAGAATGATGTTAATCAAAACTGGCTAACTTATTTGTTTTCTTACAGATACCGTGTCTACGCTCATTTCCAGCCAAACGCGCATCGCGGTGAGCGTTGGTCAGAACTGTAGCGTTATGCTTAAACGTGGTTTCGGGTGCCCGTTGTCTGTCATTTTTGTGGCGGGGGTCATCACTCAAATCTATGTATGTGTTTGATCTGAGACGCTACCAATAATACACTAGGATTATATCTATATTAGCTCTAACAATTTAGTTTTAACACCCGTTATTGGAAAAGATATGATTTTAATGTCTTTTCCTCTAAATGGTTTAATCCAATGGTTATTTGCATAATAAAGAGTAAAGCTCCCTGCATTAATTAGTGCAGGTTCTTGTTGGTTTGAGTTAGATGGAAATCATTCGATAAATTGGCTCTTTCGTACTTATGTTGCGACAGTCGAGCTATAACTCAAAACGCACAGAATAGACTCCAGTAAGTGAACCAGATGACATACACAAAAAGGTACATCATTTTGGTAGTATAGTTTATTTAATTGCTGGTAAATACGTGCGGTTTTTAATCAGTTAAGATAGTTTCTTCTAATCTCACTAGATCATGGTGTTTTATATAACTTAATCGTTCTATGAACTTCTGACGCTGTAAGACGTTGGGCTAAGTCACACTAAGAATCCCTGGTCACTTACACAATAATGAAGCCTCTTGCACTTACTTTTAGTTAGGATGTATTTCAATATTTCGTTGGCGGAGGTGGTGGTGGCTCGGTCGGCTGACTGGTTCCTATGTTGCTAGGGTAAGGCGGCGGCGCAGGGACTGGCATGCTGCTTGTTTGTGGGTACGGTGGTTGTGGAGGGGGATATACTTGTCCCAACTCACTATATCTGGGAGGAAAAGGAGTCCCATCTGTTGGATACGGTGGTTGCTGCGATGGTACGGTCCCAGACGTTGGATACTGGGCATTGTGAACTTCTTTACCTGTTATGTGTTTATGGAAAACAACAGGTTCCGTGTTCGCACAATGTGAAGTTAGCATCAGCCAAAACAATTATATTTGCTTTCGTGTTTATTGCCGTTTGTCATTTTAGTAATCACATAGACACACAGAAAGTGACAAAGTCGAGTCAAATTCAATTAATATTCTTCATGTCTCTTCGTTAAAGGAAATAAGAGGAAGTGGTACCCATTAACAATGCATCAATTTGATACTTTTCAGCCACAATGATACGCAGTACACAGGCTTATTCAAGACAAACTTGCTACTCTATAAGCAAAAGGCTTTGTGATATAAAGTATAGGTTTGTCAGCGAGTGCAAGCATCAAACTAACCAAGATGGGTGAGCTATAACACTCGACTGCTAAGCAATGAGGCCCACCATATGTCATTTATCATTTCTTGATCAGTAAACCAAATAACTGGTAGGTAGTAGCGGGCAAAATGGCTGTCACAATGGCTATTTCTACCCATTTAAATGGATATGATGGACTCTGTTTCAACAGGCATGCTTTGCAACAAAACACGAGTATTGAAATTGTTCTATGAAATTAAAATAAAAAATAGATTCCTAAATGACGCTGCATGGCGGAAGCTGTTGATGTTGTCGCTAATGTACTTTAGTAAACACCTTGGTATAGATTGGAATTATTGCTGATAAGATAAAAACTTGAAAATCTCATGTATTTTCGTTTGTATTTTTCTAAACTTATAGTGTTTAAATGGAGTGAAGAACATTGACTTCTAATCAACCAGTCATGACTTTAAAAGTTCAAATGCTCTGTACTCAGTCATCATCGCGAGTCTCTAAGCAGTAACCTGCAAATAGTAAAATTACGTGTCATTGTGTCCAACTAATCACTAGTTTTATGTACTTGGCTTAATTATATTATATAAACAATACTGTGTTAATGCACGGTTACGTAAGGCGAAACTTTATCCCATTTTCATCGATTGCTTTTATTATGTGTCTTGTTACTAACGTGTCAGCAAAACTGCTAGCACGATACGCACTGCGGTGCCGGTTCATTACTATCCTCTTAAGTTTATATCCTAATCAAACAACAACCAACCGGAGGACAAAGTGGGACTGCAGAAGGTCTTGCCAACGTATTGAATAGTATCAATCATACATCGAATGACCATATTTGTCGAACTGCCGAATTGGCCACTTTTTCCGTTGGCTAGACCAATCAATATATGTGTATCAGAACTTGGTTGCATGTGGAGACAAAATGGTCTTTCGGATACTTTGCTGCCAAGGAATTTGATACCTAAAATCCTGTCGAAGAGAAAGTGATCGTGCATTCACAACTGTTCTGATGTGAACTGCCGCAATAACGTAGTTTATCCAATAAACATTTTTCGTATCTTTGCACCGACGTATTGATACTAATCTCTGTGGAATGCTATTGCGTTGTTTGTAAAGCCTGGCCATAATTTTTGAACCGTGAAGGTTGAAATATTTTGTGACGGGTTGTGCAGCTTGTGTTGAGGGATAAGTTAGAATGCTTGGTAAACACTAGGTTTGCAGACTGTGTTTGCGAAGTAAACTTCCAGTAGATTACAAAAGAGCGAATTGGTGATCCGTACGTAATATATTCCTATGCCACGCATGGCATCCAAGCTTGTATTTCAGAAGAGACTAATATCTTTAAAATAGCAGAACGAAAGCTAAATGCAATATGTGTTCTGTCAAGCTTTCAGCGTAGTGCACTTTCGGAAATTCCTTGTTCTACCGTATTGTGTTTTCCTTGAGGATGTTAATGAATTGCTTCAGAACCGAGGTTTGAGCAGATACCTTGCAATTATCTATATAAGATTTGTAGTCATAAATACATGATTCGATCATGAAGAACATAGATATTTGACTATGTTAATACAGTCCTTGTCCAGTTAGAGAAAGAAGCCAAGGGGCAACTTATACCCACTCTACCTGCGAGTAGTAACCCTTAGATTTTCCACGTCCATTACTGATTAATAAATGACACCTGCTGTTGTTCATGGGCTCAAACATAAACCTATTTAGGTCATTTATTTAAGGCAACCAACTCCCAGCCTAACAGATAGATCCTAAACGGAGAGCTCTAGAGACCAAGTTATTCCGATGAAAGAAGTGTCTCTATCCACTTTGGAATATGAACGAACCTCTGTACGCTGAAACGAGTAGATTAGAGCGCTGGATAGCGTCATCTTAATTTTTCATTGGTTATTCCTGTAGCGACGTATTAGGTGTTAGATTCATCGAAATAAATTGCAATCACTTTCCCTAGCAAACTTGGAATGCAACGTTTACTAGCCCATACCATTCCTAAACTTAATGGACTTGCAGCTACATAAGGTCTCGGATTTGCTCTCCTTGTAAAATGGAGGTCCCGACCCACTTCATCCTAATTTGGACTCTTCAGTTAGAGATGGCTTGAGCCGTCGGTGAAAACAACTGCACAGTACTTCATGGTCAAAGCCTCGATGGCTAGGTGACACGGTTTCACAAGCAGCGTCTAGCGCGTTGGTAGAAAGCGCATTGTTGTGTTTTGCCGTGTGTCTGGATTGGGCTACTTAACTACAATTGTAACCAGTTTTTAATTGGATGCCATCAAATTCAAATGGGAAGCCTTTAATTTCTAAAGTGACAATTCCGATTAGCTATCGCATTCTAGGCATGCAGTTGGTGTTGCAAAACACAGCATTAAAGATCTTTTTTAATCGCTGTCCAAGCGAGCAAAATTTGGTATTGGTATATGTTTATTTTCACTGATCATGCATGATAAGTTAGCGGAAAGTTTGTTGGAAACATGAAGACTCACTCACCTCTTCGCTGTCGTAGGTAACAGCAAAAGATGATCGTCACAATCAAAATTACTGTAAGTGGCACGATAATACCGATGATGATAGACGTCCGCCGGTAGCTCCTAGAGGATTTGAAGAATGGGATAATAAACAAACAACAGAATCATCATTAAATCACGCAGTTTCTTATTATCGGGATCAGTTCAATTATACTGCGTTTGGATTACCGTCCAGCCTCTCTTAGACAGTCCTTGCTAGCATACCAATATCAACGTTGTGCATTATGTGGAGCGCTGTTAGTTTCACTATGAATTTGTATGGGTTTACAAGAGTAAAACATATAACAAGTGAGGGGCAAAGGAGGGCAAATAGCACAGATAGAATTCTATCACAGTAAAACGCTGTCAGCCAGTCTTCACTTGCCAAGAAATTCACTGTTTGGCCGCTTCATTCGTCTGAGAATCTTTAGCAATGTGTCTACCTTTCTGCGGTTGAAACCATAGATACAGTAGGTGGCAACAACCGTGTTGACTAAATTACTTGCTGTGACATAGCACTGCTCATTTACTACTGACTTGCAGGTTACTGCCGTGCAAATGACAGCGTTGCTGCCTCTCATCAAGTGACGTAAGTACCAGTTCAGTCCTGCCGGGTTCGAACCCTATAAGGGTCGGATGCAACTTGCAATGAGACGATTCCCGAAAAGGAAAAATACCGTACAGTGCTTCTCTGAGAGTGCGATGGCTGTCTAGGCTAAGATCTGATACATTTATATCTATAAACACTACGTCTAGACCTTCTACTTGGCCGGTTGTTCTACGTCGTCCGTAAACTATCGCATAGGTAATACTTCGTACAAATAGCATGGCTGTTCTTGAGATTATCGCCGAATTTTCAAAATGAAGCACTTAAGTCATAATTAAACTAACAGCCTTTACGTAACAATTAATACCAGGTATGCTACGTACGGTATTCGGCATTGACTCAACCCCCTAACATTCAGTTTGTTGTCTAACACCATCCTTTACGTCAAGCATTTATTCGACAAAGTTTACTCAGCGCAAAATACAGCATAGTTAGTAAGCCAAACCCCTTTATGCACGTTGCATGTTCACGTCCATAACAAACGATGCTTCTGAGTCTATGAGTTTTCTCAGTTACAGAAAAGGAGAGTAACCCACACGAATGTTAGCCAATCCGTATTAAGCAATCCATTCGTATCTCCTGTCTCCCATTGTCTGTCTGGCTTGCTCGATTGTTCCATCCAGTTAATGTGATATGACACTCCAATCCGAGCGCATGCGCGCCACTGATAAGATGCTTAAATTATTCTTTGTTATTTCCCCAACTACTTTACTTCTTTGTGAGTTAGCTTCCTGAGCAGCGTCATGATATCAGCTAGTCCTGCATTAAAATAGCTCAAATAATTCACCATACCGTTTAAACGATGGATTGCATTGACGTTGTTAGGAGGCCGCATCTCTCATACCGCTCTAAGCTTTCCTGGATCGGAACTGATTAGCTCGATTGTTAGCATGTGTCCATGAAAAATAACCTCTTCTGATTCACACAACACTGCAGGAAACGGTGCGTATTAGGGTCGTGCTTTTCATCCGTCGAGCCATTGAGCAAACTACCTCTGCCACACTAGTTACACTATCTAAATCGCCTCCCGTTTACACCAATCGTTTTCAAAAATTTCCGTCGATAGCTTCGAATCCACCGTTTAACGCAGTCAGTGCTAACTCCCGAATGGTGCCGCAATGAAAGCAATGATACTGTATTCTTCATCTAGTAACACCTGGTAGAATGCAAAACGCATGTCTACGTGGGTGAAATACTTACCTTTGGTCAAACGCAGTCAAATGTATTCTAGGGAAGGTGGTGCTTAGCGCTCTTGACGCAACCCCTTATTTAACGGTGCTGGTTCAATACACATGCGCAGTTCTCCCGTGTTCTTTGCAATGATTGCGACCTGAATAAGCCAGTCGGTTAACTCTTCAGACTTGGTAATCATACCCTCTCACACTACATTGCTCATTTCGGCGCAAAACCTTTCACGCAACACAACTGTAACTATTTTGGCCGGCAACGCTGTCGCCCGTATCAACGGATCTAACGGCAGGTGTGTGGTTCCATCACATGTTCCCAAAAACGAACTAAACACAGATGGATACCGCTCATTATTATCGGTTTCTGCTTGGTAAGCAAGTAATCGAATTCGTAACGCCCGTCTCCCATTGTCTGTCTGGCTCGATCGATTGCCCCAAACTTTCACCCTGATATGGCACTCTCGCCAAACAGACCCACGGTGATATCTTACGCAAGTAAAGGGTTATTGCATATTCTGGACTTTGTATGTTGACATTTCATATCGTTTTTTTTGGAACAAACCATATGTGGCTTAAAATGAAAACGTCTCTTGTGCCGGTTACATTAACGATTCAAATTATTAAACCACATTCAAACTATGATTCCTTGGGTGTGAACTGATAAAACATGGCTGCGAAGATTGCGTGATTTTAAGAAAACTTATAGATAAAGCGCATGCAAAACTGAAGGCAAAAGCATTTTGGTATTGTTGCCCATAGCATCCTCCGTGCCAGCCTTTACAAGGGACACCGTGGCTTATTCTTTCTCCTGTAGTACACTATTCATGATGATGTTTCCCATTCATGTCAACGACAAATTACTCACTCGAAATTTGCCGAAACTGAAAAGAAAAAGATATTAAAACCATTGTTACCAAGGCAAACAACAGTGTCATATGAAGATAAAACATAAGTGTTAAATATTCATCTAGTAGCCAGCAATGTTGTTTATTGTTTTTATTAAGTTAGACCAACCACATACTACCGGGTTTCGTGCACAATACATAGCTTTCACAAATGGGTTACTTTTATTCTGCTGAATATGATTTGTATTGGCTGAACTAGCCTTTGAACAAGCAAATATTTGGTAAAAGACTCACGTCTTACTACTTTGTCATGGGGGAGGAACCTAGTGAGGTCAAGCAAAATTAATCGTGGCAGTTGACGCCCGAGGCAAAGCTGCAATGCTTAGGTAACCTACGGAATAAAAATACGATTAGGATGGTGTTCTTTTAACACGATATCAGGTGAGGAATTCAGTACCTTGCTATTGTTCGTCCACTGTGTCCTAATTCTCTGTACTAGGAAGCGTGGTTACTGTTCCTTTAAAATACATTGCTCTGTTTCGACATATGAAGTACTTGTTCTTAATAAACTTGATCTACTAACACTGTCCGAATAAGACTACTAACATGGTACAGTGGGTCCAAATGAGTATAAAATAAGTTTTTAGCGTGCAAACAATTTATGAACCTGGGCATCAACATTATGTACCTGGCTGAACAATGGCAACTGGCAACACAAATTGGCCAAGTGCATATACTTATTGTTAGCTTCAAGTGGGTTTAGGCAGCACTTTCTGCAGTGAAATGATTGCTTCAGTACTGTAACACGCTATTTTATCATCACTCATGTATACACAATACTCGTGAGTGAAAGACACCTTAGCTAATGTGCCGCAACATAAAAAAGATAAGAGATTAAACCTTACGGGCCACAGAACATAAAAACCTAACATAATACAAGGTATCGTATTATGCATTGGATTTAAGATCTTAGTTTGGGGAGTAAGTTAACGCAGAAAAGCGGTTCACAAAGACTCACAACATAAATACCCTTGAGGTCGGCTATTCGCCATGTCGACATGTGTCTAACCAAACGTGTCCATCGCCCTTCGTAACCTAACCAGGTAGTCGGTATACTGCAATCGACGCCAACTTCGAGTGTGGGTTTTCATTCCTCTTGAACAAGTGGCCACATGGCCTCCCTCATTCTCTTTCATCCAGACTCTGGACGCGCAAACTACGCACGACTCAGGAGTATAAGTGCTGAAATGTGCAATACCTGCCCCAGCCATCAACCCTGGAGAGTGATATAACGGTACTGAGCGGTAGTCTTCCTGCAACAAATACGAGACGCCGGCCACGCCCATTGCTCATGAAGTGTTCCCACCAGACATCAGCGAAGCTGCAAAGTCGGCAGAGAGGGGACCTAGTAAACGTCTTTATGTCTCTCGGTTTGATAGTCTCGTCTTGCTACCCGTACAAAACAGTTGAAGTGGCGGTTGTATTGTAAAGTGTGCCTATCAGGGCAAGTGTGATGTTGCGCCGATGCCATATGTAGCGGAAATTGGTACAAGAGCCTCCATATTTCGCTGTAAGATTTGTGATCTCATACTCATTTTTGTGCTGCTAATATAGCTGCCAAGATACTTAAATTCCTGGAGGAATTTAGCTAATCGTTGCTAAGCGTCAGCGCCAGGGTGGTCACTGCCAATCATAGAGAAGGACGTAGCATTTTGAGAGTGCTTAACATAGCATAAAACGACCTACAGCTAGTGTTTATCTCTCCAGGGCTGATTGAAACCTTTGGACGCTGTCATAGAATCGAACAATGTCGTCGGCATGCTCCAAGACAGGAAGTCTATCACCGGGAAGCAGCTCCATGCCTTGGAAGTCGTTTCTAGCAAAGGCTGTTTACATAACTTCTTTAATAACGAAGTCAAAAAAGGTGACATCGGGAAACAACGTTTCAGTTTGCGAGAGATTTTGGTGTGCAGCGTAAGATTGTTCTAATACTCACTATGCTCGAACTATGCGCGTAAAGCACTCTGATGTTCGCGATTCCTCGGGCACACCACTCGCAAGTAGCGTGTCGAATGGGCACATCCACCATCTTAATCAAGGGCGTCTTTGCTATCTATTAACACGACTACGGCGGGTTGAGGATAAACATTGCAAGGCTCATAAAAAAGATGTAATTTGAAGATGTTGTCAATGCATCCTCAAGGCCAACGAACTCTGGCTTGCTTTTCACGACTGTGGCTTTCACGGGGGCCAGTAGGTCTACGGAGGAAACATAGCCAAATAACTCAGAGGCAATTGACATCAGACTAATTCCTCTGGGACTACTGCATTCTAGAAGGGAACCTCTCTTGAAACTTGGGACTATAACGCAGCAGCTCCAGTTGCTTGGACAGTTTACTACTGTCATCTATGCACTAGTACGTTGTGTTAATCGTCCAGAAGAGC